TTCTGCTGGGGTGGGGCTGGGTTGGTGCCCTCGGACTCCGTGAGGCTCTGTAATGCTGCTGCTTTGGGCCCTGGCAGGATGGGCTGGGGTCTCCATGCCCTGGGTGGCAGTTTGACAACAGAGGTGCCTATTGGGGCCAGTAGGGGAGCTGGCTCCCTGGAGGGTTAAGCCCAACCAGCCATTCCTCCCCATCCCCGCATATTTCTCTCCTTCTGCTCCCTCACATCATCACACAAACATACACATAGGACCTTGGGGGGTGGGCAAGTCAGGGAGTGCGGGTATGGACCCCATTTCCGCATTCCTGTGGAAACCTGCCCCCCAATTTGATTTGCACTTTATACACTTCCACTGACGACATTCCACACAAACACACACTTAGGGCCTTGGGAGTGAGCACATTCAACGGCATTTGGCAGGGGGATATTTCAGCCTCCTCCCGAGTGCCGGTGCCCACTTCCAATTTTAAACCGCACTTAGACACTGATGGCTGAGGGTGTAAGTGGGGTGGTGCGGTGGCATCAGCTGGCATATGCTGGATGATGCCTGCACTGCCCACTCACCACAGCCATGGAATACACCTCATGATCACACAACACTATATTGGAGCAGCCGGAGGGAGACTAGGGGTCTTAGCCACCTCTGTTGTTGCTAGGCTTCCTGGGGCTGGAGGCTAGGAGGGAGATCTGGCCGTCTGGTTGGGGTCTGGGGTGGTGGGTTGCTGTGCTCAGCGTTGGGCGGGGGAGCCTGCTCATCAGCACCCCAGCAGAAAGGGTCAAACTCTGGTTACCGGTGATGTTTGTACCCAATGTGCAGCAGTACCGGGACCAGAGTGAATAGGGTGTGTATGGGGAGCATGAGTGGGTGTCCGGCGTGCATTTTTGTCAGTCTTGGGTTGTATGTGCATGTGTGAGCATGAGGGAGGGAGCGTGTGACTGTGTTTGTGTATGACTGTATATGTCAGGTGGGGCCTTTGGGTCCTCCCCTCTCCTGGAACTTCTCTTGATGATATAGATCTCTTCCCCCCTCCCCCTGCCACACCTGGTGTGGGGGCTTGTGCCTTGGTCTGCCTGAGTGTTCGGGGCAACCGGGTCTGGGGGTTTAAGATTTTGGCATCTGCCTGTTAGATCCCGGTGGCTGCCTGGTGGGGTCTGGGTCCCTGGGCTCTGCTGGGTCCCCGGCGGGGGTGGTCGCCCCTGGGTCCTGGGTCGCTGGGTCCCGGGGGTGGCCGGCTAGGGGGTGGGAGGCTGCGGGCGGGCCTGTGGGCTTGCCGCTGATATCTCCCGGGACTCTGCCGGCTGCTGGTTGTGGCCCCCCGGGGCGATCCTCTGTGCCTCTCGAGGGGGGCGGGGCCTTCCTGGTTGCAGTCTCCTTGGGGTTCCTGCGTTCTGGGGCAGCGCCTGGATCTCTGGGACTTGGAGCTCCCCCGTCTCCTGCGCATCTTTGGGGGGCAGATCTGTGGTCCCTCACACTCTCTGTTGGGCGCTCCTATAGAAGAACCTTAAATAAACAAGCACGTGTACACACACAGGTGCTCACATGGTGCTCTCAAAAGTATGGGCTTGGGCACGTTAAACACAGGTCTTAAGACTATGGTGGGCACTTAATGCGTTGTGATTTATTATCGTGATTCTTCAGTTAAGCAATGTTGATTATATATATATATATTTTTTTTTCTTTTCATCAAGTTGACGCAGTGATAGGTAGATCTTGTTGTATTGTTGTTGTGTCCCTTTTTTTGTGTCCCTTTGTTTTGTTTTTTTTGTCTTTTTTCTGCAGGTCTGGAAGCAGACTCTTGTTCATTATTGTTTATTTTTGTGGAACCCCCCCCCCTCTCTCTCTCTCTCCCCACCTTTTCTTTTCCTCTCTCTTTCACCTCTGTCTCCGTGTCTGGTCGGAATTACAAAGCATTCAACAACAATAACAATAAAGTTTTAAGTATCAGGCGTGACATTAAAAGCAAACGCTTTGATGCTCCACCTGAGAATAAATCTGTAAGGCTTGTCACCAGCATTCAGACATCAATTCTGCTTGCTTCACAACCAGACAGGACACGGTAAAAAAAAAGAAAAAAAAAAGACAGATGCTAAATGAGTTTTGGTTGTTTTGTTGGGATCTTTATAAATAAGACTCTAGCTATCATGTTTCTAGTCAGTATGACTCTAAAACAGACTTGGATAAAGAGATACTCAACATTTGGGATGCACCTAACAACCTCCACCACTTTCAGAAAATGTTATTAAAATTGAAGAAATGAATGCTTGTTTAAAAGATGAGCATGTATTTCTGAAGCCCAGATGAACAAAGGGTCATTCTGCAACTGCAGTGTGATTAGCTGCAGGTGATCAGTAAACTCAGCTTTTGTAGCCAAATAAAATAAATCAGAGTGGAATCAGTGTTTACTGGTTTCTAAATTTGATATCTGAGCAGTAAATTTGAATCTGCGTCCATCCATCCATTTTCAGTCACTTATCCAGGGTCGGGTTGTGGTGGCAGCAGCCTAACTAGAGGCTCAGACTTCCCTCTCCCCAGCCACTTAGGGGACTGATGATGATGAAGGTGTGTGTTGTTGATGTTGTTTACAAATTGTGTAAATAAAACTACAAATAAAACAATTTAAAAAATAAAAACTGATATCTGGTGGCTTCTATAACTCCATATTTTATTTGTAGAGAATATTTTAAAAATGTTTAGGTTTCAATTCAAGTCAATTTATTTATATAGCGCCAAATCACGACAAGATCATCTCAAGGCACTACACATAATAAACATTCCAACATTTCACTGGTTTAAATCCCTATATTATAACAACCTGCCCTCACAGCCCTCCAATGTTTTGTTTTTGTTAGTATTTGGAGTTTTGACAATAATTAAGTTAACCATTATTCCACTTTCATGGCTAAAACAGTTTTTCTACCAAAAAATTGGATATTTTTATAAACTTTGTTTACTGAAAAACTCATTTTGGCTGTTTACAAATGTTTACTTTCTAAAATCCACCAGCAAAGAAATGCAATCTAATTTACATGTTACTGCCCTCACAGCCCTCCAAAGGAATGGCTTGTTGTAACAACTCTGAAAATCAACCAGTTACTGTGACTGATGTTCCAGCCAGTTCTCTGATTTGTTATGGTCATCACGTGTTCCACGACCATCTTCCAATCAGCTTAATCTGCCTCTGTTTTTGTTCTTATTTTATCCCATGTTTTTTTTCCAGTTGCTTTTTGCTGTTTGGCTACTTCGTCTGATTTATTTGTCAACCACTCACTCTTTAGTTCGCTTGCTACAGGTAAGAAAAAGTTTTAAATCCTGTGCTTGTTGTTATAGTTGTAATTTTGGTTTACAAAAGGCAGTAGCATATATCTGCCCTCAAACAATGCCGCATGGGTAGCTACCACGTGGTAGCTTACGTACTGTAGTTTATTCAGTCTGTTCAAGTAAAGTCAAACTAACTAACTAATTGCTCACTAATTTATACTTTCCTTTTTTTCCCCTTCAGGCTGAAGCACAGCATCGGGCCACACAAATGGAGGCCCATTTTTCTGAGGCCATCTCTTTCATCCAAGCCACAGGGAGATGTGCAATGTATGGAAAACAATCTGAACATGTTGACACCCAGCAGAGGGTCATATGGACAATATCCGCAAAACACAGGTGTCGCCTGCACCCTTTCTGTTTTCTTTTTTTCTTTCTTTTGCTATCATCTATCTATCTATCTATCTATCTATCTATCTATCTATCTATCTATCTATCTATCTATCTATCTGTCTATCTGTCTGTCTGTCTGTCTGTCTGTCTGTCTGTCTGTCTGTCTGTCTGTCTGTCTATCTATCTATCTATCTATCTATCTATCTATCTATCTATCTATCTATCTATCTATCTATCTGTCTGTCTGTCTGTCTGTCTGTCTGTCTGTCTGTCTGTCTGTCTGTCTGTCTATCTATCTATCTATCTATCTATTTATCTATCATCTATCTATTATTTTTGATAATTTATTTTTATTTTTTTGAAGCGCCTTTGATTTTTATTTTGAGAGGCGCTATAAAAATGTTTTGTTTAAATTGTGTATGAAAATGTCAAACCTTTATGTAATAAAAAGCTGAAAAGTCAGTTTATTGTCCATCCTTTGTGAAATTACATCTGATCCTGCTGCCTACTACTAAACACATGCAGTAGAGCTTATTTTTTAAATGAAATGAAGACACCGCTGTCCTATATTACTTGTTTTTAAGGTTTTTATACATTTGTTTTGCCATTCTGGTTGTTTTTGCTGTTAATCTGCCATTAGTTTTGCAATATAATTTCCTGTGGTATCTACATAATGAATAAAAGTGACAAAAAAAAAGTTTACCTGAAAGCGTCTCTGCAACATGCCACAAACATTTAGTTCGTATGTTGTCACAACGTTACAATAGCAATGTTGTCACAATATTGCAGTAAAGTTGTGGATATGTCACGACAACCTTCGAGCAATGCCCTATGTGACGTTCTGACAACGTCGTAGTGGAACTTCACTTTGTATGTCGATACTACGTAACATACGACGTTCCGGCAACATCACAAGCTGTCAGAAAATACGTTGCGACTACGCCGTTGCAACAGACCTGTGTTAGTATGGATAGGACTCTTTCCTCTGCTTGATAGCAACCCTAGCTGCCGGTGTCCACCAGTGGGTTCGGGGATTGCCACCACGACAGGTACCGACAACCCTGCAGCCACAGCTCCGGTCAGTGGGAATTGAAGTTCCTTCTGACAGGAGACTGCCAGACATTCCCAGCAGACCCAATACGTCACAATATGTTTAGGCCATCCAGGTCTGACTGGCTGTGTGTGTGTGTGTGTGTGTGTGTGTGTGTGTGTGTGTGTGTGTGTGTGTGTGTGTGTGTGTGTGTGAGTGTGTGTGTGTGAGTGTGTGTGTGTGTGTGTGTGTGTGTGTGTGTGTGTGTGTGTGTGTGTGTGTGTGTGTGTGTGTGTGTGTGTGTGTGTGTGTGTGTACCTACAGTCTATGAGCAGCTCAGAGGCGTTTAGGATCTTGGAGCGCTGCTCTGGGTCTGTGATGTTCAGCTCGTTCAGGTGTGACTCCTTCAGTCCTGTGAAGTCCTCCAGGCTCTGGAAGCCGTGCATGGACAGTATGGGACTCAGCTCCTGGAACACACACCAGAAAAAGCCTTTTAGCCTGAGCTCCCTTTGAGGAGAGCAATGAGGAGATCCAGGTGCTCTCAGATCTCACCGTCAGGCCTATGCTATCCAGAACCTCCTCGAGGGATTTGGGCTTGGAACTGGACTGACGGTTCTTGCTGTCGAAGCGCCTCCGTCTGGCTACGGGGCTCTCATCTGGGAGGAGGTTGACATAGATAAACTTGAAGGATCCCACCTTGTTGTTGAGCTTTCCTGTCCAGGTACCCACGGGCGGCTTGTCGATGATGTAGATGATGTCTCCTTTCTGCAAATGAAACAACACATGAAGACAAGGGTGAGGAGAAACAGAAGACATTATCAGCATCTGCTCAACCATCTCCGTGCTGCAGACTTTCAACATCTGACTTTTCCTGTGATGCAGAGTATGATTTGCACATGCAGTGACAGTGGTCTGCTAGACCAGAACCAGCCGTCTTGTTTCAGTTTTAACAAGCCCCCTGGAGGACGAGACAGCGAGGCACAGACAGGACCAAAGGCCAGATCACAGACAAAGAATAACTAGACTCACTTGGAGTTTCAGAGACTCCACATCATAGGGGCTGGGAGTGAAGTCTGTGTGGACCAAAGCTCGACCGCAAAATGGCCCGTTGTACGAGACGCCGTTCTCCTCCAGTCTCATGCTGTCCCTCTGACAGTATCCGCTGTCCAAACTCTGTCTGTCGCTGCCTGAGGAGGACAAAACAGACCCAGTCAAACTGGGACACATACATACCATAATAACTCTTTGGATTCTGTTTGCAGGAATAATTGATTATTCTGGTTTTTCTGCTGCAGTTTCTAAATTTGTTGAATTTGCTAATCAGCCAGAACTTTAGTTCCCATGATGCACTGGTGGATGTTAAAGGAGTCATTAATCAAACCAAGCTGTGCTTTTTAACCTTTCTTAGTAAAGTTCTGTCAAACTATGATTAATGTTGTGTTTAATAAAACATACTTGATCTGTTTCTACCCGCAGTTCTGTCTTTCATTTAGTTTCAGTCACCCAAGGTTCAGATTTGGTTTAAAGCACAAAAATAAAGTAAATGATCAGCAGGAAAACCAGACAAATGTAATAGATACAAGAAGGTTTGAATGAAAATATTCAACAAAGGACTCATTTGTGAGTTTTTTGTGATGAATGGAGTGAACAAACAAATACGATTCTAGCATTAGTGTTGAGATTTTTGAGACCAGGTGTTTTATTCTCTCAGGTTGTGTAATTTATATGTTTATAATACGGGCTGGCTTTGATGGTTGCACACTTACTGCCAGAGAGCTGGCGGCTGACGGGGCTGGGCGTGGTGTCCTCTGAGCCTGTGGAGCACACAGACGTCCTCTTTCCTGTCATCAGATCTGGAATCCAATCGGAGGAGACGGGGGACAGCTCCTCACTACTCTCCCCCTGGAGACACAGAGGAACAGGAGACACTATGAGTACCTGCTACAGCTCACTAAACAATAACACTGATGTCACACTGAAACCAAATATAATTTAGGAGGAAAAAACTAAAAACAAAACCAACATTAGTGTGTGATCAGGCAAATCAAAATTATGAAACCTTATGAAAAAATAAGCTATTTAATTAAAATAAATTGTCACTTTTTTGTTTTAATTTAGTTGAAATGAAGCTACAGACCAGCATGCTTCACAGTCACTTCTGTGTGCCTCAATGACATCAGCATAAATCATAAAAGTAAATGATAAAATCATAATTTGTACGCTGCATGAAATGAAGTGCATGAATTTAAAGCTGAAAAGGACACAAATTAAAGTGAACGTGTTGTCTTACTGAGCCCCAAAATAGAAACCGATTGACAAACTACAATCTGCAGTGCAGCTTTTATCCACAAGGAGGAGACAAATAGTCTTCAAAGAAATGGGTTTAAATGTTCAGTAACAGTAATCCCGTGTTGCTGCTGCAGATAAAGGTAATGTAATGTGTTTTGTCACACGCGTGAAGCTTTTTTACCCCCTCCTCAGCCAGTGCCTTCTGCACCATCTTGGATGTTTTGCGGGTCATGGTGCGTGAGATGACGTTGCGCCACTTTTTCCCCAGTTTGCTGCCACTTTTTACAACTTCTTCTGCTGTCACTCCATCTGCTGCCTGGCATGGGAGAGAAAAACAATCAGCTGTCTCACAAAGGTGTGTTGATGTGGGAAGCCAGAATGTTTTTATCTTAAAAAGAGGTGATGGTGGAAAGTATATGTTCTCCTGTGACATTCGCATGCATGTTATCAGAGCGGTTTCAGGTCACGCAAATGTTTAACTCTCACAAATAAGAAAACCTGCAGGGTTTGTGGTGAGGAGGTTTGAACACACAGCTGAAAGTCACGCCGTCACACACCCACACTGCTGTGCCAAAACGACTGAAGGCATATGTTGCTTTATTTTCCTCGGGCAGAAAACATTAACCAGTGCTTTATTCTGCTGTGAGTTTCAGCTTCTCTCCTTTGAGTTCTGAGTACAAACAGGTAAGACAAACACAAGCCTGTGTCTGACACAGAGGCTCTGTGCTTGACTAGCTGTCACCAGAGGACATCCTGTCTGCACCGTGCAGTCATCTGCTCAGCAACGCTTCTCATTCTGACTTCCTCTCTTTTTCTGTACTTCTGCACTCACTCGTCCCCCAGCTTCACCCTATGTGTTTGCTGGGAAGTGATTAAACGATTCTGTGAAATCCGAAGTTACACATCTGCTCACTTGTGCCACGGTGGCGTTAAATAAGGAAGCATAGGCAGTATATTTGTGTAACAGCTTTGTGCACGGTCTCTTTCTGGATGCAGCGTTGCTTCAGAGGCCTGCTCAAATTCACACAGAATCACAAATGAGGAACGTGATAAACTATATGCAGGAACAATCATTTAGGAACCTAATTAAACAAAGAGTTGATAAAGATGTTTCCCTCTTGTTTTATTTTTATGATTTGTGCGTGTTTGAGAGGAAAATGCTTACATTTTCCTCTAAGCTGAACTCCTTTTCTGATGCAACAGGAGAGGTGGGTTTGTGTTTCATGAAGTCCTTAAAGCTGCTGGATCGCTGCAGGGTCAACTGCAAAAGACAAAAGCAAACAAACAAAAACAACATGAGGTGACAGAGCACCATACATATCAGAGCAGCATACATCTAATTTGTGCACATGTGCATTCATCTAAACCTCCGTAAGCTCCGAGGAGCCGTCAGTTCAGCATACAGACGGGAAAGTATGACAAGGCCTTGCTCGGGAACTACTTGGTGGTTTAACCCCCCAATCCAACCCCTTAAAGCTGAGTGTCAAGCAGGGAGGCACTGGGTCCTGTTTTTATAAAGTATTTGGTATGACCTGACAGGGATTTGAACTCCCATCTCCCAGTCCCAGGACGGACACTCTACCACTGAGCTGGATAAATGTGGATCACAATTTTATATTTTACCACCTTCTAATTCTGAAAAACATAGAAAATAAAGCTTTAAAGTTTATAAAATGAACAAGTCAGGATGTCATACTGTTCTTATAAACAAAGTGTATGATGATCTGACTGGTGAAATGAACACATCAGGGATCGTACATTTGCTAAAACAACGTATATAATGACTTGATGGGTAAAACGGCCCATCAGGGTATCATACGGTTGTTCTAAATAAAAGTACGTGATGATCTGTCTGGTAAACTGCCCATCAAAATGTCATACAGCTTAAAAATGTATGATTATCTGATAGCATATGCCTGTCTCACAGACTTGTACTGTCAGATAGACATACGCTGTAACACTCGTATGTCAATCTGACTGGACAGAACAAGTTCAGAACAGAGTTCAGAAAACAACTTCTGTCAATGCTTCTGTGGCTTTTTGGTTCAACACTGATAATGCTGTTCTCACAAATGGGAGAACACACACACACACACACACACACACACACACACACACACACACACACACACACACACACACACACACACACACACACACACACACACACACAACGTCCTTATCAGTAATAATACGTTAACATGATAACTCTGCAGAATAACCAACTGATCAGGGTTCTTTTCAAGGTTATTAGACAAAGAAACTTGACTCTTCACATTTCTGCACACTGCTAATCGAACTGCGACTACTTCTTTTCATGTACCAGTAAATACAGGAGAAAAAAAAAGGCTCATGGTGTTTCATGAAGTCACTGACTTCCACCGCTTTTATTCAAAAGGCTGATTTTGAAACATTTGAAAACAGAAAGCCAGTAAAACCAACAAGAAAACATTGTTATTGTGGTTTTAAGAGGATTAATGAAAACCAACTTTCTGTAGAACTGCCTTTTCTTTGATTTAAAATGCATTAACAAACCAAATGTTTATTCAAGTTTAAACAAATAAAAATATATATTTTACTTCCTCTCCTCTGCAATATGCTATCCCAGGTACTTTTTCAGTTAAAACTGTTTAAAACTGAAACAGGCTTAACTTTTCAACCTTCCCTTTAAAAAAAGGAGGTTTTTATAGATCCAGTTATTTTTAATAATCAACATTCAGTTCTAGTTTTGTATTTAAAAGGTCAAAATTTGGATATTGCCAGTTTTGCACATTATTTTAGCAAATTTTGGTCTAATTTTCCATTTAACTTTTTTCTCAGTCTTATGCAGCTTTTTCTTTTTTCTTTGCTGAAACCACAGGAAACGGGCAAAGCTGAAGCAACTGCTGGCAGCCAATCATTGCAGACATCCAGTCAGTGCCTGCAGTTGGTAGTTTTTTTAAAACCTGAAGAATGAAACCACCAGTGAAGTCATGCAGCACAAGTGACCTTTAACTTGGTTTGTGTTGCTGCGTTTTCAGCAAGAAACAATCTTGTCTTCACTTTAAAATTTGGAACAAAGAGGTCCTGACAGTTTGGGAGATGTTTGCTGAGAACAAAAGTAATAAGACGTGTGATCTGATGGTATGAATTAGACGGCAGGAGCAGAGATGTGGATGGAAAAAGGGCACTGGTGTCGAGTAGGAGGCTGGATCTACGGGTAACAGCTGGATACAAAGGCAGCAGATGCCACAAAGCTTTCTCTGACTCACACTGCATCTGCAATAATGAATCATCAGCAGAGAATAGAGGAACTTGCAAAGTGCATGTTAAAACAGGTTTGTCAGAAAATACTTTAAACAGAGTTTTAGATAAAAAGTTCAGGTTCAACTCAGAGTTCTGCACTAACATCAGCGGACATCCTGTGTTCAGAAGAGGCGCACACACAGACAAGAGTCAGTGCATTAAACAACACTAAAATCTCATTTTGAGAACATTAGCTGCAACTTTAGGTAGGAGGCAAAAACTCACCTTCTTCTTCTGAGTCTGCTCCTTCTCCGAGGCGTTTGAGGGCTTTCGCCTCAGCATCTTCCTCCTCGGTGATCCACAAAATTCTTTAACAAAAAAGAAAAATAATAAAAACCTGTGAGAGGTTTACACAGTTTCTTAATCTGTGGGGAGATCTGCTGCTTTTCCGTGCTGTCACAGTCAGACTTAAATTAAGAGGGAAAGAGGAGGGCTGAGGTGCACTGTGCTGCTGCAGCCAAGTGAGGTGCACAGTTCAGGAAGTAACATGATCATGTTCAAACTGAAAAGGCAAACCCAGTTTCAGCACCACAAACAGGCCACTGGGTTCATTACATATACATTGCTCCTAGTGGCATGCCACGAGCCAAAAAGCTAAAAGTGAACTGACAAAAATAGTGTTTATGGAGGTTAATTTTCAGCTTATAGATATGTGGTCAGTCAAATTAAATCTTACTCGAGGGAAGTCTGAATGAAGTAAAGCCAAAAGGAACACCTGAGCGGTCTGTTTGCTCACAAAACTTTAGTTTTTGCACGTTGATAAGCTGTAGTCATAGCAAGCACATGTAAAGTGTGGAAGTGAAACAGAACCAAGGTGACATGTTTGGAAACCGTGTAACAGCTTTGCAGATGCACGAAACCACATGTTCATAAAAGTCCAGCTACTTCTGCGGGAAATGTCTACTCTTCACTAAATGCTTTACTAGACAAATAAGCAGCAAAGCCAAACCACCCAGAAGGGACAACCTCGACAAGGAAACTTGTGTGACTCAGAAATGTGCACGCATTTGAGTGTACACTTAGTCTGCAGGACAAGACAAAAGCACACTAACAGTAAGTGTTAAAGAGGGAAGTTCAATGCAAGGCAAGTTTAGCTTGTTATTTTGGTGGTGAACAAAACCGCGTGATGAGAAGATGCCCCATTTTAGTTTCCTATCACTTGACTGACGACTGCCAGCAAACTCGTGTATCTGCACATCATGTAAAGGGATGAAACAATAAACAACAGCTGAGGGAAACTGGGGGGAAAAATAAAAATCTAAGTGGCAGTTAAAGATTTGGTCATATCTTGACAATACCATTATCCACCTTTTATACACTGCTGCAAGGTCTCATGCAAATGTTAGAACTCTGCTTATATATTGTGTTTGTTTCTCATGTATTACAACTTGAAATTGTAGCAACATATGTGTAATACTGATTTTCTTGGTAAATATGATTACCTGAGTGGCCATCTTGAATTGGGTTGACTCCAAAAGAGAATCAATTGCAGATAATGAATATTCATCACAAAATAATTTTCTGAAGGTTTTATTAAAGGGGTTCTATTATGAAAAACTCACCTTCTCCATCCTTTACTAGCGTCATGTGGGTCTCTATTGCCTCTATAAACAATCTAAATGCGCAATTAACAAACAAACAAAAAGAAAACATCCATCTGTTTTCTGTCAGTGTTTGGCTTTGGGAATTTTGTGCCTAATAACAAGTTTTTTTTAAGTTTATGGCACAAAATGGGAAATTAGAACAGAACTTCCTCTCACAACATCTCAAGAGAGATTCTCTGAGCCCCTCCTAGACTTTGGAGCTTCTAAGCTTATTGCAACCTGAGCGAGGGATTGGGTGGGCATGGCCAGGAAGGTACTGAAACAGTCAAAAAGAAAACTGCTGAAAAAGATTTATGTGAGAGGGATTTGGTGCAAAAAACTTAGTAAACATGTTTGGTATCAACAATCAAACAATCATAACTTAAAAATCTACTTTACTCATATTTTTAACAAATTTGAAGTGGTCTCCAGTAGGAATGAATGTCTTGTAAGTTAAACTCTTTGGATAAAAAGCTCCAGTGTGACTGTTTGAGGATGTAGATGTCAGTTTCAGGAGAAACTGGCAGAAGACAACAACATTTGGAGTCTTATTTCCTGATATTTAGATATCTCTCCTCTGATTTGCTAACAGCAACATGACTACCACTGACTCTGTTTGCTCTGCAATGTTAATGTTTGATCTCCACAAGTAACACAAGCCTGGAGAAGTTCTGAAATGTGACAGAGTGACTTATGCTAGTGGTTAGCTTCTACTAGCCGAGAAATGCTCTGCCATTTTCTGGATGCTAAAGCAACAACAGCCTTCCCCGTCACAAGTCGAGATGGGTCCTTGGATGTTAAGTGACAGTGTGACGTTAGCGTCCAGCAATGGTCAGTTTAGGTACAGCCTGACCTTTCACCATCTATTCAACATCTGGTCAGAAAGGAGACACAACATTGCATGTGTGTTCCTTTTGAAAATAGTCTGCCTTCACACCAGCTGGGATTCACAAAGTCTGCAGGTCTGAAAGATAAACAATAACTTTCTTTCCCAAGGTCTCATCTGCCTGCCTTCAGAAGAAACAACTCTAGCTCGAACCAGTTGCTAAATTCAAGAATGATTTAATAAATCAACATGAATTCCTTCCATGACTTATAATCTACATAAACATTAAATAAACATTTGTTTATTACTACTTATAATTATTATAGTATAATGAAATGCTTCAGTAATCTGTGCACACTAAATGGATGTTATATTATGTTGTCTACTAGAACCTGCAATGTGTTCACCATGTTTTGACGACAAGGTCCCACATCTGCATCCACTCAATAACAATTTGTTGAAATTTGTTTCATTGACACCTAAAGATAAATGAAAGGCATTGTTAAATAATCATGGTTGAAGATTTCATAATTCATGCATCAAAAGATTAAGCACTGGTCAAATATTTAATTCCTGGTATTCTGGTGATTAATATAATTTGAACTACGAATTGTGCCTCTTTTAGCGGCTGACAAGGAAAGGGTTCTAGTGAAACCCCCCAGTTCGAGAAATTGAGTGTTTATCAGTACACGGTAGTAGAAAGGGAGCCCAAATAATAGCTAAGTATGTAGGTTTTTAGTTGCAACCCTGGGCTGGGAAATTGACTGTGTGATTTAACAGTAACTCCAGACCAACAAAACTATGACATTATTTGACTATGACTACTGTCAAATAGCATTTTATCTCCTTATTTGGTTGTTTATTTTCAATTTTTGTTTCTGACGTTTATAACCAAGACAAGGGAGTTCAGCGGATGACAATTACACCGGGGTGAAAATAATCTGGTGGGCAGTACCTTGAATTCAAAAACTGCATTTTGAACAATCTAAAAAATATTGTTTGTCATCAGCTGAATCTTTCTGGAGTCTGTCAAATGTAGGAATTTGTTCAAATCTCTGATTAGCGGACATTGTGATCAAAACGGGGGGGGGGGGGGGGGGGGCTGTAAGTAAATTTTTTTTTTTTTTTTTTCACCGTGTCCTGTCTGGCTGTGAAGCAAGCAGAATTGATGTCTGAATGCTGGTAACAAGCCTTACAGATTTACTCTCTGGTGGAGCATCAAAGCTTCTGCTTTTAATGTCACGCCTGATACTTAAAACTTTATTGTTATTGTTGTTGAATGCTTGGTAATTCCGACCAGACACGGAGACAGAGGTGAAAGAGAAAGGAAAAGAAAAGGTGGGGAGAGAGAGAGAGAGAGGGGGGGGGGGGGGGGTTCCACAAAAATAAACAATGAACAAGAGTCTGCTTCTAGACCTGCAGAAAAAGACAAAAAAAAAAAGCAAAAGGACAAAAAAGGGACACAACAACAATACTATCTAGCTATCACCGCGTCAACTTGATGAAAAAATATATAATCAACATTGCTTAACTGAAGAATCACGATAATAAATCACATTGCATTAAGTGCCCACCATAGTCTTAAGACCTGTGTTTAACGTGCACAAACCCACACTTTTGAGAGCACCATGTGAGCGCCTGTGTGTGTACACGCGCTTGTTTCTGTAAGGTTTCTCTATAGGAGCGCCCAACAGAGAGTGTGAGGGACCACAGATCCGCCCCCCAAAGATGCGCAGAAGACGGGGGGAGCTCCAAGTCCCAGAGATCCAGGCACTGCCCCAGAACACAGGAACCCCAAGGAGACTGCAACCAGGAAGGCCCCCGCCCCCCCGAGAGGCACAGAGGATCGCCCCGGGGGGCCACAACCAGCAGCCGGCAGAGTCCCGGGAGATATCAGCGGCAAGCCCACAGGCCCGCCCGCAGCCTCCCACCCCCTAGCCAGCCGAGCCCGGGACCCAGCAACCCCGGACCCAGGGGCGACCACCCCCGCCGGGGACCCAGCACAGCCCAGGGACCCAGACTCCACCAGGCAGCCACCGGGATCTATCAGGCAGATGCCATGACTGGAAGTAAATTTGAAATGAGACAGCAGATTAAAGCTGTTGTAGGAAATTTGCATTTACTGACTATAGAGCGCACCTCAATATAAGTCGCACCTACTACGTTTTAAAAAAACATGGAACTGTACTGTAACGTGATGAAGGTTCTCTAATTTGTGGCAAAGGTCACATCTACCCAGCTGGGTCAAGCTGGACCAAACAGTACTTTTAAATCCACTGATTAACCAGGAGCCATGATGTCTGCTCAAGATCATATCCACATCTGCAGCTGTTCCATCCAGATCAGCCTGGTGGCTATGTGCCTTTCATTATTGAGCGTACATGGTAACAATCTGCATCCTGTCTGGATATATATATATATATATATATATATATATATATATATATATATATATATATATATATATATATATATATATACATATATATGTACATCTTGCCACAGTTATAACTGTTTGACTTGTTGTTCATTGTCTCCTTCTCTCTTCACTACAGGAAATGGGTTATTGATAAACATATTGATAAAATCCATGACAACAGATGTTCGGGGCATTTTGCCTCATGCATTATGCCACAGTTATAACAGTTTGATTGTTGTGCGTTGTCTCCTTTTTCTCTCCGACTACAGGGAAATGGGTTATTGATAAACATATTGATAAAATCCATGACACTGTCATTTAACACTGAATCCACCCTCAACATTTCCATTGGTTTGCTGCTGTCAGAAGGGAAGGAGACATAACGGGGCTGCAGTGGGTCAGGTTCTGAGAAGTTGATTGGTTGCAAGTTGTCTAGAACCTAAAGAATTTTTGAAGACCACACATTTAAACTAAAAATCACACCCAACTCCACCACATATCACTGTTTCAAAGTATTTTACTTTAATAAAATAGAAATTATATGAGATTGTTAAACAAAAACTGGTAAACAAAACAAAAAAATCTAAATAACAAGATAGATCATTTTAGACTTCAAACAACACAAAATCAGAAATGTAACCACTTAATTTAATTATTAAATATATATTACAATTACAAAATAAGCTAAGCTGCGGTCAACTTGTTGTAGCTTTTCAGTAGAGACTGCATAGTGGTAACGTTAGTGTACAATCTGCTGTGAGGTACAAAATCAGCTGCTCAGATTATGTTGTGGAGCAGAGCGATGCTTAGAGCGACGAACGTCAGAGAGGAGGAAGAGATGGAGGAAGAGGAGCCCAACTCAGGGAAGGGCTCGGTGTTTCTGAGCATCCAGTCCTTCTCCTCATGCAGACCCTGTTTGTCCAACTCAGGTCCCACCAGCTGACGAATCTTCTTGTAGTAACTATTCAACCACTGAAGCTAGAGATAGAAAAAAGATCTGTCACAGGAATTTACGGCGATGCTGCTAAAAATGACCACGGTTGTGGAAAACTTACAAGATTTCTAAAGAAATTCATGAGTTCCAGAAAGGTCAAAATTCAAAATATGCACAGATACAGAACCATGAACAATGGTACCAATTAAACTAAAATATGATAAAACTGTGAATAAAACATCTGTCTTCTGTCAACATCTGCAGATCCAGGACATTCCTCCTCCTAGCAACACCATCCAGCCCCTTCTTGGACATGCCAGGATTTTCCAAGATCAGAGAGAGGATCTATAATCCTTTCAGTAAGTTTTGGGTATGTCCCAGAGACACCTCCTAGTTAGACATGTCTGAACAAAGCGTGGAGGGAGACAACCAGGAATAATCCTAATCAGACAGCCAATCCAACTCAGCTGACTATTTTTGAAAACGATGAGGATGATGGATGATGCAGCTCCTCTCTTTACATTCAAGGCTGGCATTTCCAAAGAGCAGTCAAGCTATTTAAACTCTTCAACCTGAGACAAGGCTCTTCACCAACCTGGAGTAGATATACCACCCTTAATACTTACACACACACACACACACACACACACACACACACACACACACACACACACACACACACACACACACACACACACACACACACACACACACACACACACACACACACACACACACACACACACACACACACACACAGCCAAGTTTGAATCTAGCCCATGAATGTTTTGTGGGAGGAAGCTGAAAAACCTGGAAAGCACCCTTAACTTAGAAACTCTATGGTCCCATTTGGGAGTTGAACCTGCAGCCTTCTTACTGCAAGGCAACAGTGCTGATCATCTGTGCCACTATGCTGTCCAAATGAATTTCTTGGATTGGAAATTCAATGTTTTGCTACCATAATCTTTATGGCTGTGTATTGAGTGTTAAAAGATTTTCTGTGTCTCATAAAAAAAACAAAGAACCAAAACACAGTGGTTTATGTCACACGTGGTTTTGTTTTTCTCTCTCTGTGTTTTGATCTCTGAGCTGCAGCGTAGCTTCAACCACATGTGTGAAGGGGGATTTTAAGAGGAAACCAGCTCTCAAATGGCAGGAAAAAGAAACACAAGGTCTACTTCACACTTCTATACCCAAATGTATCTACAAATTAAAGCAGGAAACTGATGGCTGCTTTAGGGAAGTAAACTCACACTAAATCACGTGAGTCCGTTTCAGGTAAACAAAACAGCAAGTGCTTTTAGAGAGAAGGCTGATTCGTCATACCTGAGAGATTCAAGCTGCTTAATGTTCCTCACCTGCTCTGAGCTGAGGAGCATCGTATCAATCAGCTTCTTGTCATATGGAACCAATGAGATGGTGTCAAACGTCAAGAAGTTGTGTCCATACTGAGGGTTAAACACATCTCCTTTAAAACATTTGCTAACAATCAGTGCAGTGCTGTTTTGTTCCTACCTTTGTGTGAGCAAGTATCGTCATGGCAACATCCTCAATCCGTATCCCAAAGTCATTCTCTTTGTAGTACCCTGGTTCTGCGATGAGAATGTTATTGTTTAGGGTTTTCTAACATGCAAAGAACAGAAACCTGTGTATGTGTGTGTGTGTGTGTGTTCTCCCATTTGTGAGAACAGCATTATCAGTGTTGAACCAAAAAGCCACAGAAGCATTGACAGAAGTTATTTTCTGAACTCTGTTCTGAACTTGTTCTGTCCAGTCAAATTGTAAGATTGATTAATACTCAGAAATGTGGTTGTGCATTTGTTTTGTATTTTCTGATGCTTAACCAGATTTATTCTGTGAACAGTATCTTACCTATAGATGTGAACATGCCAGCTCTGAAAGGAATGTTGTTGGTCTGAAAACCAACCGGCCCTGAAAGAAACATTGCAATAATAATAAAAAAGACTAAATAAAATAACTATATTTAATTTTCTTATGCAAATGAGGCACATTATCAATTTCTAACAAGTTGGGAGGATTAATGAAGTCTAAATGAGTTTAGTGAAAACAGTTACAAGTAAAGTTCTGTTTTTCTTAAGACTTCTTTTTCAGAGAGCCAGACTTGTTCAGATTAGGGGTTTCTACTCTAAAACGAAATAGTGTACATCAAAAGGTAAACTAGTATGCAGGGGAGGTAACAATGAAGAGGCTAAATAACCTCAACTGTGACAACATAACGCAGCTGCATTTTATCAGAAACCTGCTCCACCAATGACTTCAAACTCTTAAAGGTGTGGTTCAGCTGTTTACCCAGTACATCTGCAGAGTTGGCAAGAATGCTTCCTAAGTCATACTCTGGGGAAAAAATAATCAGATGCTCCTCTATCAGGAAGAACAAGTCAGCTGGAGGAGAAAATGGATTCAGATGGCAGGATTTGGAGTCAATTTTCCTGATATTTAGACATCTTGCCTCTGATTGGATAACAGCAACACGAGTCTACAACTGACTTGGTTTGCTTTGCAACATTGATGTTTTATCTCCACAAATAACACTAGCCTGCTGTGTGGTGGAGTTGTTAATGCTAACAGTTAGCTTCTACTAGCCGAGACATTCTCTGCTCTTTTCTGGAAGCTAAAGCAACAGCCTTTCCTATTGGAGCCAAGATGTGTGAGTCCATGAATGTTAAGTTACAGAGTGATGTCACACTGTCAAGATTTTCAAATCCTTGAATTTCACCACCTATTTTCTATCAGAAGTTATTGCAGGAGATTTATGTAGAAGACTATTTTCATGTTCAGTCGGCATGAAAAACTAAGAATGATAGATTATAATCAGAAATGATAATTCAAAATGGTTTTTTAATGTTCCACAAATTTAAAGAAATGTTTTCTAGAATAATTTAACCTCTCCCTGGGCTGCCACGTTACCATGGTGGAGGGGTTTGAGTGTCTCAATGATCCTAGGAGCTAAGTTGTCTGAGGCTTTCTGCCTCTGGTAGGGTCACTCATAGCAAACAGGTCCTAGGTGAGGGATCAGACAAAGAGCAGCCTGAAGACCTCTTATGATGAATCATATAAATGGAAGCCGTGTTCCCTCGCCCGGACGTGGGTCACCGGGGCCCCCTCCTGGAGCCTGGCCTGGAGGTGGGGCATGTTGCCGAGCGCCCGGTGGCCGGGCTTTCACCCATGGAGCCTGGCCGGGCACAGCCCTAAGAGGAAACGTGGGTCCCCCTTCCCATGGGCTCACCACTCGTGGGAGGGGCCAAAGGGGTCAGGTGCAGTGAGTGACGGGTGGTAGTCGAGGGCGGGGAACTTGGCAGTCTGATCCTCGGCTACAGAGGCTGGCTCTTGGCACATGGAATGTCACCTCTCTAGTTGGGAAGGAGCCTGAGTTGGTGTGTGAGGTTGAGAGGTTCTGACTAGATACAGCCGGACTCACATCAACGCATGGCTCTGGCTCTGGAACCAGTTTCCTTGAGAGGGGTTGGACTTTCTACCACTCTAGAGTTGCTCCCACTGAGAGGCGCTGAGCAGGGGTGGGCATACTAGTTGCCCTCCATCTTGGTGCCTGTAAGTTGGGGGTTACCCCAGTGAATGAGAGGGTGGCCTCCCTCCGCCTACGTGCGGGGGGAGGGGTTCTGACTGTGGTCTGTGCTTATGTACCAAACTACAGTTCAGACTACCCACCCTTTTTGGAGACCTTGGAGGGGGTGCTGGAAAGCGCTTCTTCTGGTGACTCCCTCTTTCAGCTGGGGGACTTTAACGCTCACGTGGGCAATGACAGTGAGACCTGGAGACGTGTGGTTGGGAGGAACGGCCCCCCTGATCTGAATTCGAGTGGTGTTTTGTTATTGGACTTCTGTGCCAGTCATGGATTGTGCATAATGAACACCATGTTCAGACATAAAGGTGCCCATTTGTGCTCTTGGCACCAGGATACCTTAGGCCGCAGCTCGATGATCGACTTTGTTGTTGTTTCATCTGACCTGCGGCCGCATGTCTTGGACACTCAGGTGAAGAGAGGGGCGGAGCTGTCAACTGACCACTACCTGGTGGTGAGTTGGCTCAGATTGTGGGGGAGGATGCCGGTCAGACCAGGCAGGCCCAAACGTATCATGAGGGTCTGCTGGGAAAGTCTGGCAGAGTCTCCTGTCAGAAGGAGCTTCAATTCCCACCTCCGACAGAACTTCCAAAATGTTCCGGGGAAGGCGGGGGACATTGAGTCTGAATGGACCCTGTTCCGTGCCTCCATTGCTGAGGCGGCCGACTGGAGCTGTGGTCACAGGATCGTTGGTGCCTGTCGTGGTGGCAACCCCCAAACCCGCTGGTGGACACCGGCGGTTAGGGATGCTGTCAAGCTGAAGAAAGAGTCCTATCAGGTATTTTTGGCCTGTGAGACTCCAGAGGCAGCTGACGGGTACCGGTAGTCCAAGCGGAACGCGGCTCGGGTGGTCGTCAAGGCAAAAACCTGGGCATGGGAGGAGTTCGGTGAGACCATGGAGCAAGACTTTCGTATGGCTTCGAGGAGATTCTGGTCCACCATCTGGCGCCTCGGGGGGGGGGGGGGGGGGGGGGGGGGGGGGGTTGAGCAGTGCGCTACCAACACTATCTATAGTGGGGACGGTGTGCTGCTGACCTCTACTCAGGACGTTGTGGATCGGTGGGCAAAATACTTTGAAGACCTCCTCAATCCCACTGACACGTCTTCCAGTGAGGAAACAGAGTCTGGGGACTTTGGGTTGGCCTCTCAAATCTCTGGTGCTGAGGTCACTGAGATGGTTAAAAAGCTCCTCTGTGTCAAGGCTCCAGGGGTGGATGAGATCCGCCCGGAGTTCCTTAAGGCTCTGGATGTTTTGGGGCTGTGTTGGCTGACACGGCTCTGCAATATCGCGAGGGCATTGGGGGCAGTCCCACTGGACTGGCAGACCGGGGTGGTGGTCCCCTTATTTAAAAAGGGGGATCGCAGGGTGTTTTCCAACTACAGGGGGATCACACTCCTGAGCCTTCCTGGTAAGGTCTATTCAAGGGCTCTGGAGAGGAGGGTCCCTCGGATTGTTGAACCTCAGATTCAGGAGGAGCAATGTGGTTTTCATCCTGTCCGTGGAACACTGGACCAGCTCTATACCCTTAGGGGGATCCTGGAGGGTGCGTGGGAATTTGCCCAACCAGTCTACATGTGTTATGTGGATTTGGAGAAGGCGTTAGACGCGATACGGGCTGTTAGGTCCCTGTATGACCGGTGTCAGTGCTTGATCCGCATTGCCGGCAGTAAGTCGGGCTCGTTCCCAGTGAGAATTGGACTGCGCCAAGGCTGCCCTTTGTCACCAATTCTGTTCATAACCTTTAAGGACAGGATTTCTAGGCACAGCCAAGGAGTGGAGGGCATTCGTGTTGGTGGCCTGAGGATCAGGTCTCCTCTTTTTGCAGATGTTGTGTTCCTGTTTGCTTCATCAGAACGTGATCTTCAGCTTTCGCTGAAGCGGTTCGCAGCCGAGTGTGAAGCAGCTGGGATGAGAATCAGCTCCTCTAAATCTGAGACCATGGTCTTGATTCGGATAAGGGTAGAATGCCTTCTTCGGGTCAGCGATGAGGTCCTGCCCCAAGTGGAGGAGTTTAAGTATCTCGGGGTCTTGTTCACGAGTGAGGGAAAGATGGAGCATGAGATCGATAGGCGGATTGGTGCTGCATCTGCAGTGATGCGGGCATTGTACCGGCCTGTCGTGGTGAAGAGAGAGCTGAGTCAGAAGGCAAAGCTCTCGATTTACGGTCGATCGACATTCCTACCCTCACCTATGGTCATGAGCTTTGGGTAGTGACCGAAAGAACGAGATTGTGGATACAAGCGGCCAAAATGAGTTTTCTCCAAAGAGTGGCTGGGCTCTCCCTTAGAGATAGGGTGAGAAGCTCGGTCATTCGGGAGGGGCTCGGAGTAGTCCCGCTGCTCTTCCACAT